GCTGCACCACATTTTCTATAAATATTGCCCTTATTCTGAAATGAAATGGCATATGATTCCGGCTATTAAAGAAGGGTAACGCCATGCAGTGTTAACGTTTTCCAAGGTCGTTGAAATTAGCTGTGTAGCATGTCTTTATGTATGTCGAGATAGTGTCTAGTTCACCAACGGCTTCAGTGGGGGTCCATGTACACCCACTTCATTTCAAATTCAACACCAATTGAGTCAATCTGTCGCCTACTAGTACCTCCAGTTTCCGGAGGATTGCGCCTCCACTGCCATTTCGCTATTTTGAGACACACCCTTCACGATGTTTGTGTACATTTTCCAGAAGTGCATTTCAAATTGTAAATATATAAATATAGTCGAAATATAAGCATGATTTAAGTAAAATGAAATCAAGTTCCGTTCAAATATTCGTTTCAAATAAGACGTTATTATTTCCCGTTTTGGTCAATAGTTAACCCTCCAGAGATTAATTACTGAACACCAGCTTTATTCCAGTAGACAATACTAGCTATCAATGAGAGGAATGGAATGGGGTTTACGTTCACCTATACCTTATTTAATTTGATTAAAATGCAGCTCTAAATGCTTCGTTTCGTGATTTATTTTTCTATGGGTGTCTCCACTCGTAATGTGAACATTCTACTGTTTTCTAGTACCACCACTACCCCCTAAAATACTGGAAGTGGTCATTCTGTAACATCGTGAGATTACATGGATTTGTCATTTTAGCCTATCGAATAAGGCGAAAGAATTAATACAGAATACGGATACTGTTGTATAATGTCAATGGGCAATGCTACCTCTGTGCTCGTATATGATAGTAATTAGGGTCGGTAATGTATTATGTCTCATGGTATTATTAGTTTATGATAATATTGCTATTACTTCATGGAAAAGTTATTAAATATATACCTATATATCACCGTATTAAGACAGACTGGGTTGAATAAAGGATTACTGTTACAGTTTCTACAGTTGATCTGGTGTCCTTTATATAGATATCATATTTAATCATCGTGAAATTCTCGTGCAGAGCTAGTGCATTCTAAATCTCTCAAACAGGTAACATACTAATATATCCTGAATTTCTCTCAATTTTACACAGAGCTGGTGTACTCTCAATCTCACATAAAGAGCTGGCGTGCTCCCAATCTCGCATAGAGCTGGTGAACCCTCAATCTCACATATAGAGCTGGTGTGCTCTCAATCTCTCATAGAGCTGGTGTGCTCTCAATCTCACATAGAGCTGGTGTACACTCAATCTCACGTATAGAGCTGGCGTACTCTCAATCACACATATAGCTGGTGTGCTCTCGATCTCGCATAGAGCTGGCGTGCTCCCAATCTCGCATAGAGCTGGTGTACTCTCAATCTCACATATAGAGCTGATGTTCTCTCAATCTCCCATAGAGCTGGTGTGCTCTCAATCTCATATAGAGCTGGTGTACATTCAATCTCACATATAGAGCTGGCGTACTCTCAATCTCACATATAGCTGGTGTGCTCTCAATCGCACATGGAGCTGGTGTGCTCTCAATCTAATATAGAGCAGGCGTATTCTCATTACACAGAGCTGGCGTACTCTCAATCTCACATATAGAGCTGACTTACTCTCAATCTCACATATAGCTGGTGTACTCTCAATCTCGCATAGAGCTGGCGTGCTCCCAATCTCACATAGAGCTGGTGTACTCCCAATCTCACATATAGAGCTGCTTTGCTCTCAATCTCACATAGAGCTGGTGTACTCCCAATCTCACATATAGAGCTGCTTTGCTCTCAATCTCACTTATAGCTGGTGTGCTCTCAATCTCACATATAGCTGGTGTGCTCTCAATCTCACATATAGAGCTGGCGTACTCTCAATCTCACATATAGAGCTGGCGTACTCTCAATCTCACATATAGCTGGTGTGCTCTCAATCGCACGTGGAGCTGGTGTGCTCTCAATCTAATATAAAGCAAGCGTATTCTCATTATACAGAGTTGGTGTACTTTCAATCTCACATAGAGCTGATGTACTCTCAATCTAATACAGAGCTGGTCTACTCAATTTCCCTTAGAGCTGGTGTACCCAATCTACCATAGAGCTGGTGTGCTCCCAATCGCATATATAGCTGGTGTACTCTCAATCTGACATAGAGCTGGTGTACTCTCAATCGCTCGTAGAGCTGAAGTAAAATCAATCTCACGTAGAATTGGTGTACTCTCATTACATATAGATGGTGTACTCTCAGTCTCACATAGAGCTGGTGTACTCTCAATCTCACATAGAGCTGGTGTACTCTCAGTCTCACATAGAGCTGGTGCACTCTCAATCTCACATAGAGCTGGTGTACTCTCAATCTTACATAGAGCTGGTTTGCTCTCGCCACGGACATCAGTCTGACTGTTTCATTAATTCCCGTCTGAATGATTCATGATGAATGTTGGACTCATTCCCCTGCTGCGAGTGGGCTTTGACTCATTATGAATTTCAGTTTGAACTGTTAGTTGCTTTTCTCCTACTGATTTGTAAGGACACTTTCTTTTGTTACTTCTTTTCAATAAAATCGTGTGTAACCTTTGTGATGTTTTCTTTAAATAAGATTTTGTTACCTTAGTTACCATTTTATTCTTTTGATTCAGTTTCTTTTCAAACATTCTTTAACAATTTATGGAATGTACAAAATGTTTCTTTAATTCGTGATCACTCAAACACTTTGTAACTAACGAATTTCTCCGATACAATTTCGATTGAATTTTCGCCATGGTTTTCCGTTGAATTTCCGCTTAAACTTCTCGTATGATGTTGAGATTGTTAATGAGGTTCTTTATACGGAAGCAACAAAATGGGAGTGAAAATCCTAAAATCAATTTAAAACCCTGAGAGAATTAAAATAACTGTCATTCAGTATGGATCTAAAATAAACCAGGATTCTAACAAAACTTAATGAGATGTGACGAAATCGACTTTCATTAGAAATCATCCAGTCAATTTCACGTGAAGAGAAACACCAATCTTTGACGTAGATAGTAGTCTGCTTTGTAATTCTTGGAGTATTGGTACGCTGACATGGAGCTTTAAAAACTCTCATTTCATCGAGGTATGTTTTTTACTTGTACGTTTCATATCATACCGACGATACATTGACAGTATTTTGTCTGATATGACAGTGTTGATCTCCACACTCAAATGTTTAGCCAATATGTCATGGTCAAGGGCAATAACTTACGAAGCGGCGATATAAAAACGAAACCGAAAACTTTGCAAATGCTGAGGGGTTAGGTTTTTAAAAGCATGTGATTTGCTGAAATTCTACAGAATCTTTTCGTTTTAACATATTACACGAAGGCGTTCAAAGGATTACGTACAATAGAAAGGTAAAATAATCGATTCAATATACAATATAAGTTGTTATAAAAGTATTTTAGTATTGTTTAAGTCTATTGTCTGTTCAAATGTCTAGGAGCTTTTCTATTCATGTTAAATATAAATATCAAGAGTTTTCTTAACACTTTATTTAATAAATATTTTATTTATTCTATTGTCTCAATCCTACTATAAACATAAAGTTTTTGTATATCTCAGACAAATTCTTTTAATTCTATTTTAATGTTTTGTTTTATGTAAATTCTATTTACTTTCGATTTATGGATGTGTTTTTTTACAACAAACAAAACATTGCCAACGTTATTTTTTTAATTTTTGTTTTGAAACTACTTTTTTCAACTAATTGATTAGATATTTTTATTCTTCTACAATCTACAGAAGATTGTCGGTTTTACTCAAACAGGTAAAATTTAATAATGTTTGTTGAGATCGTACTCAATTAGACACATATCTGAAGTTTGATGTTCCTTGATTCCAAATGTCCCGTTGGGTTAATTTTTTCATCTGATGGTCGCTCCGTTTTAAAGTTATTAATGACTTTATATTTGAACTATACAATGATATATATGAAATATTTATTCTATAATGGACATGAACACTGTGTCTGTATGCAGTAATATTATATATATAGATAGATCACGTTGATCTACTTTTTAATAGATTAGAGTTATTAAAAGGTTTGCGTCATTGTTTGGTAAAAGTGTTAAGAGTTACTGGACAATGTATTTTCTGAGAAACACAGGAGCATTTCATATTTCATCCACGGGAGTTGGGACTTTTGGGCGTTTTCTTTATCAAGCGATTGATCCGAAACTAAACGTTCTTAAAATACATGTAATGAATACATACAGAGAATACATATTGTCTTATTAAGAAATTTGTTGAGTATACATAAACATATTTTGATTTAAAAAGCATAAAGCGTCTGAGACAGATCTGATGTTAATAGAGTTAGAAATACTGTTCAAAGATTGGAATAGAAGATGATTTACAAATAATGCAGTGATGTATACGATTGTCATCAAAATGAAAAAAATAAAAAGTGTCTAGTTAATTTATTCTATTTCTAGAAAAGAATTTTCGGGGTGCAGCCAATGAGCCGCTTATCCTATCTGTGAAGTCTTCTTGACAAGAGTAAAAGACTTCGTCATCCAGATTCCAGAAAACGTTGTTAGGGTCGCGTACTTTTAGCTATAAAAATACGATGGTAATTTAATAAAGAAACCATAATTCTATTTAGTAGAAGCTTTTAAAGCAGCTTAATGTTAACCTTTCAACGAACTTTTCATTATATCATATCAGTTTAAAGGACCACAATCCATCACATTTCATTGTGGGCGATCCTAATGTCTACAATTACAAAACCCTTTTTGAATTACTTTAGTTGCATGGTTAATTCTTGATAAATGCGAGACAAGAGAGAACCCACCAAGAACAAGCTCAGTTCTATAATTTCCACCACAATTTCAAGAAATGTAGCAAATTCTAGCAAACGATTATGTAGGTTACTGATTGATTTTTTGACACCGATATATATTTTCGATCTGTAGCGGTGCAGAAAGCCGCTAGATGCACATAAGTCTCGATAAAATGTCAATATATTGACACAGCTTTATGGAATGTCAGTAGTTTACATTAGGAGTGCACGTCCCCATAATTTAACGCAACCGAAAAATTCAAACGGCGTTACATCAAAAAATGGGTGAGTGTGTGCTGGCATTTAGATCTCAAATTCCATATTAAGCACCACTTAGCACTCTGTTACAGATGATAAATCTGAAGATCATTGACTTATAAAGAAATCATACAAAAAACAGGTTGTTTTAATGGATGTCATGGGTCCAAAATTGAAAGGCTTTTTTTTATCTCAATGTTAGCCAAATTCTTTTCTTTATTTCATATGTTTATATATCACTAATGTTAAATAACAGAACACAGTGATGAAAATTCTGATGATTCTTCCTGTAGTATTTATTTCAACACAATATGTTGCTTATCGATTATAAACCTTGATAAAAATATCAAATACATAAAGCAAACTTCTCAAATAAAACGGAGACTAGATTCTGTGAGTAAGCAAGAGACCATCAGATTATGTGAGCAATAAAACACCTATTTTAAGAGAAAGTTAGCAGACTGAAGAACATAAGATATATTATTATCACCATGGGAGTCGTTATTTCACCCTAATCCCGATCAATTTTCTACCATTTATATTCAAATAAATTTAAAATTTTTTTTATTGATATTGAGATTTTACTGAAAACAAGGATCTTTATATTCGTAATTGACGTATTGTATTGTTTTATTTAGCAAAGTAAATACTTGCTATAGCTCAAAATATATCATACAAGAACCAGAACAAAAAGCAACCTATTTACAATCAAAGTCTAATAATTCGAATAAATTATAATGATAAAAAAGAAAGAACAATAGAAATATGAATTAAATGATAGCTGATCATTCCACTCTGAACCTCTAAGATTGAAGGCAACAAAAATGAATCTACCTAAGCTTAGAAGTTCAGAGTGGGATCTCGGATTCATTAATTCATTCATTTTGTGCAATGATGGGAATTACCAAAATCGACGGCGAAAGTACTTGCGACGTAATGCAATATATTAAGGACAATACAAGATAAAGTGGAATTCATCTTCTACATAAATACAATAACAGCATAAACATAATCTTTTATCTCTCGGAGTTTTATTATATCTACCTATTTCAATTTGTAGTTTTAGGTTTCCAACGCGAAATTTACAAATCAAAGATTTAAATTTATCGTCCAATAAGATTCAAGTTCGAAATTGGTTTTAAAAGTTTTATAAAATCTCAATTTACTAGATAAATTGAGTTGAGAATACCATAACTGAGTGTATTGGTCCTCTAAGCGTTTTCTAAATTCACATACGTTTAGGAAGTGTGGATCATCTAATAAAAATGAAAATCCAGTTTCATTTAGAAGTAATCTTATATCAGTGACCCAGTTGTGTTTGTCATTTACGTTATCCTTGCACAAAATCTCGTATACCAGAGAAAATTATCAGAGCAAACAACCTTATTCCGGAATTAAACAAAAATTCTGAGTTCACCTCATGCAGCCTCTAATTGAGTGGATTTACTTCGCTGGCATATATTAACAGAAACTATTTGCTAGAAATATTTAAATAGAAGGATTTCAGCTAAGATAGAAGGGAACCAAGGACCTTTATACTCCGAGAAGCAATTTGTTTAACAGCACGAACATACATTCCATTTTGGAAAAACAATAAACTTAGATAAATATATTCAGTGAAAGCTGAGTAAATTATTGATCCAGATAATCTATTTGGTGCAGTTATTATTCAGAATATTGTAGTTTTCTATATATTGTGCAATGAAGGTCATTTTTGCCATCAACTGAACATTTCTGACATCAGTTCTATCTTGACTGGCTGCTTTAATTTTGTTTCGCAATAAGAAAACAAGCTAGAATTAAATTCCAGAATTTTGTCGAGAAGAAAACCTTAATCCTGTTTGTGAAAGTTTGGTGAATAAGTTTTAAATCGGATTATCTCATGCTTGACTATATCTCGTGATATCTATTTATGTATAATATTGGTAACAATTTTCTTCTATGAATTTAAAAGAAATGGTTTTTGAAACTAAGTAGTTGATGGATTGATAACAAATCCAACACATCCTAAAATAACGATTTAATGAATGTATACACGTAGCCTATTTATCAGAAATAACGACAAATTGTGTCTCTATCTAATGAACTCCGTACGCTCACATCTGTAATTCCTAAAATATTTATTGACCACACAGTTACATGTACCCTATTAAAATAAGGTCGTTTTAAACTTTCTCAATATGGACAGATTTATCAATTTACCGAAAAATCAATTTAAAAAGTTTTTATTTACAGCTGCAGTAAAATAGATTTTGAAGAAACTTTTCTACATTCATATTCAAAATGTATCTTATTCTACAAAAAGTTAACAATATAAAAGACACTTAAAATCTATATTGTATACATTACCTTTAAGATGGGTTCCCTTATTTTTATTTATTTATATATATATATTCGATTATTGGGTGGCTAATACTTATATCAATCGAAAGTACATGTGATCTATAGATCCCTAATTAACTCGTAATAAGCTAATTACGAAGGGAATGCAGACAAATTGTATGAGCAGTGCCCGCGATAGAACGATCAATTTGTCTTTTATCCATTATTCAGTCTGTACAGCCATTGGCATTTATGATTGGTTAAAACTCCCATAATTATATGCATCAGCTACTCGAGTATTTTGGTATTCCAAAAAGGTCTACAAGCATACTTTATCTTTCATATAAACTACAGTAAAGGTCTTCAAGCATACTTTATCTTTCATATAAACTACAGTAAAGGTCTACAAGCATACTTTATATTTCATTCAAATTACATTAAAGGTCTACAAGCATACTGTATCTTTCATATAAATTACAGTAAAGGTCTACAAGCATACTTTATCTTTCATACAAATTACAGTAAAGGTCTACGAGCTAACTTTATCTTTCATATAAACTACAGTAAAGGTCTACAAGCATACTTTATCTTTCATACAAATTACAGTAAAGGTCTACAAGCATACTTTATATTTCAAACAAACTACTATAAAGGTCTACAAGCATACTTTATCTTTCATATAAACTACAGTAAAGGTCTACAAGCATACTTTATCTTTCATATAAACTACAGTAAACGTCTACAAGCATACTTTATCTTTCATATAAACTACAGTAAACGTCTACAAGATTACTTTATCTTTCATATAAACTACAGTAAACGTCTACAAGCTTACTTTATCTTTAATACAATCTACAGTAAAGGTCTACAAGCTTACTTTATCTTTCATACAATCTACAGTAAAGGTCTACAAGCTTACTTTTTCTTTCATATAAACTACAGTAAACGTCTACAAGCTTACTTTATCTTTCATATAAACTACAGTAAAGGTCTACAAGCATACTTTATCTTTCATATAAACTACAGTAAACGTCTACAAGCATACTTTATCTTTAATACAATCTACAGTAAAGGTCTACAAGCATATATTTTATCTTTCATATAAACTACAGTAAAGGTCTACAAGCACACTTTATCTTTCATATAAACTACAGTAAAGGTCTACAAGCATTCTTTATCTTTAATACAATCTACAGTAAAGGTCTACAAGCATACTTTATCTTTCATACAAACTACAGTAAAGTTCTACATGCATACTTTATCTTTCATATAAACTACAGTAAAGGTCTACAAGCATACTTTATCTTTCATACAAACTACAGTAAAGGTCTACAAGCATACTTTATCTTTCATACAAATTACAGTAAAGGTCTACAAGCATACTTTATCTTTCATATAAACTACAGTAAAGGTCTACAAGCATACTTTATCTTTCATATAAACTACAGTAAAGGTCTACAAGCACACTTTATCTTTCATATAAACTACAGTAAAGGTCTACATGCATACTTTATCTTTCATATAAACTACAGTAAAGGTCTACATGCATACTTTATCTTTAATACAATATACAGTAAAGGTCTACAAGCATACTTTATCTTTCATATAAACTACAGTAAAGGTCTACAAGCATACTTTATCTTCCATATAAACTACAGTAAGGGTCTACAAGCATACTTTATCTTTAATACAATCTACAGTAAAGGTCTACAAGCATACTTTATCTTTCATATAAACTACAGTAAAGGTCTACATGCATACTTTATCTTTAATACAATATACAGTAAAGGTCTACAAGAATACTTTATCTTTAGTACAATATACAGTAAAGCCAGTAAAATTCTACAGGCATAAATGTTCTTTTATTTAATCTACAGTAAAGCCAGTAAAGGTCTTTACATCATACAATCTAAAGTAAAGTTCTATAGGTATACATTATTTTTTGAATATAATCTACAGTTAATTTCTACAAGCATACCGTCGTTAATATAATCTACAATAAGTATAGACTGAGGCCTTGAATATAATATGCTTCAGTTAAATTTTATAAGTATTACCTTTTCTATATGACCTTTATTTAATTTGCACGGTACATATTACCTAATAAGCTCGCCAAATGAATACGTAGTATCGTAGTCTATATTTATTTTGATAATGATATTGAGTAACTTTAAATGAAATTGCATGAAATCGCTTGAGGATATAGTAAAAGAATCAACTGAAGCTGTAATATCTGAAATATGATATTGATTGAAAATCAACAAACTGATATTTCAGTATTCAAACGTTATTTACTTTTGTTTGAAGGGCTTTTACATCGGAGTTTAACATCGATTCTTGTTCTCTCAAGTGCTTTTTGTTTCACATTCAAATATGAGTTTAACAATTGCACTGTAGTGCCCGATCTTTCATGAATGTACGGAATATAGATTTTATGTGTCATCTAATGTTTATTTTGATTTTAGAATCTTAGATAATAGTTCATATTGGTGAAGGTTATGTATTAGTGTTTGAATAATATCACAAATGTTTCATTTATTAAGTATAGTTTATTGATTATAGTTAATCTGAAATGACTGAAATATCGTCAATCTTGGGACTTTTTCGTCGTGTGCTAAATGAGAAGCATTCTTTATTGGCTGTGCACTAATTATTGACAAACGTTAAGATTTTATTAACTACGTGGATAGCCGTTGACAAACCTAGTCTCGGTGGCATAAGATGTCCCAGAAGAATTGACACAGCCTGATTCCTACCAAGAAACGTATTGTAATAAATTTCATATTCAAACAGTCTGTTGGAATAAAGTTATAAATCTTTGGAGTTAATAAGGAGTATTTTTATATTAATTTGAAAAAGACCCGGATCTGCTCAGGATCTGAAAGCAGTTGTTATTTTCAGAGAACATGACATTGTGAAAGGAAAACCTAAAAACTAAATGAAAAATAAATCATTAACTTTTTTCCAACTTGTACATTTCCTTATTTAAGAAACTATTTACTTTAGCTGGGTAAATATTAATTTAGTTTTCAATTAATTTAATGATGTCTTCCCATCTTTATGTTTAAAGGAAGTAATTCATTAAATTTTCTTAAAATACTGACTTTTTAGAAAAAATCTGTCATAAGTTGAATTTTTGACATGATAGCAGAATGGTCATAGCGCAAAAATTTCATTAATCTTTCAAAAAAAAAAAACAACCGGTTCTGGTTTCCTTGACGTGTTAGCCTATTACAATTTTCTTGTGTACCCCTCTCGTCTGTAAACTGGGGCGAACATATCTTTAATACTCTCACTATATGATGCATAAAACTTAACTCGAAAATGAATAATCGAAAATTGCTTAGGCTACTAACAGATGTGTACTGCGAAAGATATCATTAGACTCAAACTTGTACAAACCAAGCGGCTAGGGGAATGCTTAAGATTGGATGCTCTCTGAAGATTGCTGTTGAATGTATTAACATTATCTCGTCAGCCAGCTCACAGTTGAATTTTCAGTATGAAAGATGTTACGGGTATTTAGTAGATTGTATCTCTTTAATGACATTTAATTCTACCAACTGTAAAATGTGTTCCAATAATGATGCTTCGTTCTATGTAAACCTTTACATTGATGGTTTCCATTAATTTCAATTAGATGTAAGCACATATTTACTTTATTTTTTATCTATTTTAGGTTTAATAATGGAAGCAATACGTGTCTTGACGTGGGCGGAGTTTAAGGCTTGTCCTGGTCGACTACATAGGTTTTTTTCTGAAGTCAGTGGGTGTATCCATTTTGATCGACAGTTAGTTTTGGACCTCTCAGATTTAACACCAGATAAAGAAATACGAGTAAAAGTTCAAAAGTAAGTAAACCATTCATTTCCATTACTTTTCATAGTTATAAACAACGCCATATTGCCATATTATCTACATAATTATTTACATGAATGTCTTTTCTCGAGAAGTTTAGTCAAATTGTTAATAATTTGAAAAGCGAAAGGCTATTCCTCTAAATTAATAATTTGTAATCTACGGAATCTATCTCCGTAATATAGGACTAATTATTGTATATCCTGGGTAGAGCCGATTTACTTTAATGTTTTACTACGTGATTCTAACAATGCGATCTAAATATTCTTCAGCTTAAGAACCATCATGGGATAATTCTACTTGGCTGTGTTCACAACGACACGTTGTCCCGTTTGACAAGGCTATGCTGTTTAATAAACTGTTCAAAGTCACGTGATCACATAGCAATCTGACAAAATAGTACCTGTAAACATGGCAACCATTAACTACTGTGATATGTTGCAGAGCGCTCACGAAACTTTTATCGTGTGCCGTTAGTTGATCCATCTGAACGGGTGGTCGCTTCTGTCGAAACAGGCTTCCAAATCGGTATCGTGGCTCTTAAATGAAAGTAATAACACCAATTATGATAAGAATAATATATCACTGAAGGATAAAGAAATAAAATGGGAAATAAAATTGAGTTATGAAAGTGGCTATATAAATGACCACTTCGGTCAGTAACTATTTCCGGCTGATTGCTGTTGATAATGAGTTCTGAAAGTGAACCATGATAAATTAATGATTACATTTTGATGGTTACAACCGTCCGTTTTGCTGAACATGAAGAGTGAATAAAATGGCTTCCGTCTGTAAGGTGGTTTGATGTCCTACTCCCCCACACATCCTTGAGGATAATGCAGATTGTACTGTTAACTTCTTTTCAAATATTTGGATAAGCAACCCTCAGTTTCCAATCAATCCATTATGAAATAACTATATCTCATATACACGATGTTGGATATAACATAATAAAGTTTTGTAATAAATCTAATGGAAAACCCATTCACCGTCATAACAAAGATATATTAATACAATTCAAATGACAAAGTTCAAATATCAATTGGTTTCCATCGAAAGGTTTATGTCATTCAATATTTAAGAGCTAATGGAAAATGTAATATGATTTATTTTTAATAAACGTTTCAATTAAACTTATTATCATTAGAAGGCGTTGTGATTAGCGATTTTTTTTTCAGAAAATACCAAATTACCCGCTCTTTGCATTGTGGATGGTGAGGACAATTAGTTGACTACCCAGCGTGGTGATGACATTTAGTTGACTACCCAGCGTGGTGAGGACATTTAGTTGACTACCTAGCCGCATGCATGTATTATTTGAAATGAATGACAGTTTTTGATTTATTAAATGTATTAGTATTTACATTCATTTACAACAATTATTGAGTTTGTTCGCTGATTAAGTTTGCAAAATAGATAACCAGCGCTTACTTTACTTGCAATTTGTTTTGACTTTGATAGTTAGATTTAATTTGATTCAAATTCCACACATTTGATAGATGAAAAGCCTGGAAATCGGCAGACGCGGACACACTTAAAAGATTCTGCTTCATATAATTGCTTTAAAGGTCTCAACTTGAGGGCAACGTCGTTAATTAGCAAATTGCTCAGGAGATTTGCCACAGGCCTTTTTTCCGGGACAAATCTAATCAAATTCAACTGAATATCTTTGAATTAATTCGTCGATTGGTGAAATAACTCATTTCGACCTGTGTCATAAATGATGACTTCATAAAATAATCATCCGGCAATCCTCAGCTGAATCTGACTGAATAGAGAATTTCGTTGGGTCTTCTTGTGCGAGACTCTTTACTTCCGGTATTTAGCAGTGATTTGTCAAATGAATAATGATATATTTTGTTATTACTTTGAATACATATCTTACGGATGTTTTGTTTTCATTGATTTTGTTTACAAACACCAATAGTCCTGAACGACCAGAGAATTAGAATTGTACCAAATTGAAACTTTTGTCTTAATATCTTGTCCAGATACTTGTAAGACCTTTTGTACAAATATATTTGTTTTAGAAACATAAACAAGAGCAGTCCGATATGTTTTCAGATGGAATAAATATTTATGAAACTATGAAAGCTAAACGTATATTGCTGTCCTTACAACTTTGGGTTAAGATTCAATGTATTCAAAGGCACCACTTAACTGAAACTCAAAAATGCGGAAATCACTATCAAGCTGCATGCATTACTGAATCCTACAACGACTTAACAACACAAGTCCTCTACAACAAATCATACCCACAACACCTCAACAACACCTCATCTACAAAGTCTTAAACTATACCTAAAACACCCCAACACCTCAACAACACCTCATCTACAGAGTCTTAAACCATACCTACAACACCCTAACACCTAAACATCACCTCATCTACAAAGTCTTAAACCATACCTACAACACATCAACGCCTCAACAACACCTCATCTACAAACTCTTAAATCATACCTAAAACACCCCAGCGCCTCAACAACACCTCATCTACAAAGTCTTAAACCATACCTACAACACCCTAACACCTCAACAACATTAGTCTTCTACAACTTCTCAAACCATACCTACAACATCCTACAACACGTCAACATCATCAGTCTTCTACAACTTCTCAAACCATACCTACAACATCCTACAAAACCTCAACAACATCAGTCCTCTACAACATCCCAAAACTAGTTTCATTTCGTGTAAATATGGAATCAGACCTTAATTGTCGGATTTTAACAAAATGAACACATAAAAAATTCACAGAAAACGTAATTTTGAAAAATTGTATTAAAATAATTACATAAAGCTCAGGTCTCTATTGGGAAAAGTATCTGTTTTGATAAGTTTGAGTTATGTCTAAAATAGTGCAAGGCAATATTGGTAAAAGCAAAATGAAATTTTCCTATTTGGGATAAAGTAATCCTGTTATTTATGGAACTTGAGCTATGACTTAATTCAACTCCATTCGCTTGATTGCGTGTCTTAATATTATTTGACATTGTTGAAATTCGAATTTGAGATTTTTTCCATTCCGAAATAGTTTTTATTTAAATCTTATTTCCGTAAATGACATGATCGTGTGAGAAACTTTGCTGAAATTCAATTCCCTGGCTGTCTAAAAACATCCACACCGATTTCCTTTTACATTATTCTTTATCTCATAAGTAAGGGTCATAATGAGTTTAAACTAGATCTAATCGATTTGGGATTTGTTGTCAATAGTTCAGCAACAAAATATCCATATTGCATGTTTTGCTAATTGACATTTTGTTTCATTATGTTCATTTCTGATTTAGGTTAATTCGTCCCATATTTATGCCATTAGTCTTGTTCGTCACCAATAAATCCATTATTCCCTCGTCTTTTTTATGTTTTCAACCCGCTTATTCAATCTCACCAATACCGTGATGTTATTAGTTTCATCATGTAGACCTGTTATATTATATAGAAAGATTCATCATATCCACCTGTTATATTACATCTATAGTTTCATCATATCTATAGTTTCATCATATCCACCTGTTATATTATATCTATAGTTTCACCATGTCCACCTGTTTTATCACATCTATAGTTTCATCATTATTATCCAACTGTTATATCATATCTATAGTTTCATCATGAACTTCTGTTTTATCATATCTATAGTTTTATCATGTCCACCTGTTATATTATATCTATAGTTTCGTCATGTACATCTGTTTTATTATATCTCTAGTTTCATCATAGCCAACTGTTATATTATATCTCTAGTTTCATCATGTCCATCTGTAATATTATATCTCTAGTTTCATCATGTACATATGTTATATTATATAGAAAGATTCATCATATCAACCTGTTATTTTATATCTATAGTTTCATCATATCCAACTGTTATATTATATCTCTAGTTTCATCATGTCCATCTGTAATATTATATCTCTAGTTTCATCATGTACATATGTTATATTATATAGAAAGATTCATCATATCAACCTGTTATTTTATATCTATAGTTTCATCATATCCAACTGTTATATTATATCTCTAGTTTCATCATGTCCATCTGTAATATTATATCTCTAGTTTCATCATGTACATCTGTTTTATTATATCTCTAGTTTCATCATGTCCATCTGTTATATTATATCTCTAGTTTCGTCATGTACATCCTGTTTAT